ATTTTATTGGTTAATTTTGTCGATCATCGGAAAATTCCCAAAAAGGAAATTTGAAAAACGGTTCGGTAATATTGGTCTAAAAGAGGTAGTTCAGATTAGTAATATAAATTCAAATTTATATTTACAAAATGTGGGAAATAAGATCGTAAAAAATCAAGATCACAAAAGTTTATATTATTCAATAGTTATCCTGAAGTAATACCTTACAAAATTAAATGCTTCAAAGGAAAAATAAAATAAATAAAAAGAATCGAAAAAAAATTTAAAGAACTTGAATAATGGATCAAGAAACTATAGAATTCGGAGGCCTCTCGAAGACTACATCTCATTGACTGGTAACACTAATGCATTTAAAATAAGATATGAATAAACAATAAAAGTTAATTCTTGATTCAGGCATTCTGTTTGATCGCATAAAAATCCTTCGTTCGATATGATCAAAATCGATAAGAATATAATAAAAACGAGTCTGCACTAATATCCAAATCGTTAGTTGAAAAAATAGAGTAGTTAACGTATGGGCTAATGGTACACATTTTTTAATATTAATATAGTAAGCGACGTGATACCAACTTCATTTTATCAATATTGGGTTTGAAATTCAAATATTGAAACTTTTATGTTTCATATTTTTTAAAATAAATCGTACCACATAATTTAATCTTCATCATTAGAACATATGAATAGAACGATGGACAAATATGCCATTTTTTTTGTCTACTAATCAAATTCTCAGTTCTGGTGCAATGTAAAATTACGAATAAAATTAATTATAACAGATAATCATACCAGATACTTAGGCCATTCCAATTTGATTCTATGATTAACATAACACTAATAAAATGATCTGCAAGTCTAAACAGGAGGGGTAAAAAAAAACATGAGATTTTGATTGGCTAAAAAATTTTTTTTTGAACAGTTAATATGATTTTTATATTAAATGATGTTAATTACCCCCCTATATTTGAGGCTCAAAGGGGGTTATGTTAAACATAGTTTTAAATTGGTGTGCCTTATGAATACGTACAGTACATACACAACAAATTAGATTAATTTCTCAAAATCAAGCTGACTATACATAACATCGATTGTTAAGAAAAATGATATATTAGCAACACTATCAAAGTTTAGCATACTGACCAAAATTCAGGATCAAACTCATCAAAGCCGGGCCGACATTAAGCAATAATGCATGGAATCTAGAAGATATTAAATATGAAAGCTGAAGAATATACCGTCAAAAAAACGACAGAATTTAGAAGAGATAGAATTTTACACAACATAGCACCATTACACAATTAAACAATACAGGAGAGAGAGAATAATTTTAAGTGGTTGCGGAAATTCATCCTTAATAAAAAGGTAGATGTATTCTGGCGCATGCTACACAGATCACTCCTCTTATGTCACAGATTAAGATTCATTGATAATACAGAATCAGGTGCCTGCTCAGCATGTCCGGAGGAACTACAGACTATAGAACACTTCCTATTTAATTGCACTGTTAGTCAGGTAATATGGAAAACTGCCTACCAATTCCTTGATAACGTTCCAAATCCAACCCACCATGCATCATAAAAGAGATCACTTCGGCTTCCAATATTGAAATGCGAGCCACGGCAATATAGTTACACATTAACACGGTTTATGAGATATGGTGGTGATACACCCAAACAAAATGGGCAAAAAAAGACATCTTGGGCGCACCGTTAATATATATAACACGCGATCACATTCATAACGAAATTAGAGAATCCACCAGGGCGACCAAGAAAATTTCGGGTCACGTGCATTGCCGATCATCTCCGGCCCGCCGACGCA